TTTTTTTTTTTTATCATGCAGGGTTAAGAAACAAAACCCCTTTTCTCTTTTAACTCACAAGTAGCCGGCTACAAGTAGAATCCCAGGAGCTCCAGTGACAATGGTGAGCAGTCTCCATTCTCTGATGGCATGTGCACACCCTGATAAAACTATGGTTGCCAAAGGAATCCCAAGCCAAACAAGAGCTCCCGCGATACCCCGATGGCGTATTCCAGAAAACTCTGTTGCCAACACGAACACTGCGATATGGTAAGCTCCTACACGCATAGGTCAAATGAAATGGGAAGATATCAGTATAAGAACAGTTATCATTTCAAGTAATTATTGTCGGAGCGACACTGTGATGGTTACGTATCTCGTACTGAAATGGCGCCAAATGAGTCAGGCTCTTCACTCCCCTTATTAGCTTTTATTCAAATCTCACCAAATCTTCTTTATTTATTTCAAAACAAACGAACTGTTTACTGATGAATTCATGCAGAGCATCCAGAAGATTTGTTTTACTTATCTTAAACAGGCAAAGCCCTAACAGTAAGCTTCTGGAGTTTGTTAGACAACCTGAGATGGTAATTAATTTTAGTATAAAAAGTTCAAGTTGAAACAGGATTCACGATCCAGATCCTAATGGTACTTACCAACCATAAAACCCACGATGGCGCGACAAAGAGCAAAAAACCAAAATGCTGGAGCGAAAGCGGAAACAAAACTAAATAACCAGCAGAAAAATCCACATATGAAGAGTGGGCGTTTCCTGCCAAACTTGTCAGAGAGCGGACTCACAACAATACTGCCAACAAAGAACCCCACGAAAAACACAGACGTTGAGACGAATCCCAGCGAACCTCGGTCACAGAAAAGGTCAAACTGTGGAAAGAGTTAGCAGACATCAATCATGAATAACGACAAATATACACGTAAATCACTCTAGGTTTTCTTACAGATCTTTGTGTTTTGCCTTGCGCGCGCTGTGGAGACCCTGACGCCCTCGACGACTTTTGAAGGCTTTTAACTTTAAGAGCATGAAAGCAATGAAATCCAAGGGTGCCAACTTGTACTGGAATAAATTTCTGCTCATGGATCTGGATGTTAATGTAGTAACCACATTATGACAGATATGTTTTTCATTTTGACTTCAATGTTTTCAATGAAAATAATTGTCACTTTCTGGCAATAACATTTTTAGCTTTTTGTTTATTTTCAGCTTGTTTTTTAGCCTTACGTTACATTAGTAAAACCTAGGATGGCGAGGAACTCACCATACCCCCCGCCCCCCCCCCCCTCCTCCTCTCCCTGTCCATCCCCAGGTGCCAGTAGAACCAAAAAAGTGCAGTTTAAATATATTGCGTGCTCTTTGCACTCAAATGTACTTTTCAGTTGTTACCCTCTATACATACCTCAGTGACAACTGAAGTGAAGTCATCAACGTACTCCCAATCTTCCCTGGGAATTTTACATCTGAATTTGTAATCGTCGACGTCTCTGATGCTAATTCTTTTCGTGAAGGGGCAAGTGGAGTTATTTTTACACTTCCAGCTGGGCTCGGACGCAATAAAAACCATAACCATAATTGGAACGCCCCACCACAATCCGAAACACAAGTTAAAAAATATGTTGAGGATGATTTGGTAGCGTCCAAAGCTGCCAATCTTCTCGAAAACCTGGTCCGTGGTCAGTGCCATTGCTTAAAAGGAAAACGTAACTTCGTAAGAAATGGCTACCTTTTCATTAATATACCTAAAAGGAACTAAAACACTACAGACCTCTTTTTATATACGCTCGGAGTGGGAAAAACAAGCGCTTACAGGCCAGTATTTAATCCATGATATTTTTGTTGGTTGCTCCAGACACAATACCGCTTGACCTATATTCCATTTATACGTGATAGATATGGAGAAGTCATATCAAGACTTTCAGGATATCAAGTAACGTGCGCAACGAGTGTGTGCTTTATGACAGTCGACAGTCCCGAATCCCTTTCCTTTCAACTCGATTCTCTTTTCTAAAGGATTCTTCTTGTATAGTCCAGTACCCTGGGAAGTAATAAATTAACAAGGCAGGGCGTAAAACTTTTCTCTGAAGCGAAAACTGNAAAACCTAGGATGGCGAGGAACTCACCATACCCCCCGCCCCCCCCCCCCTCCTCCTCTCCCTGTCCATCCCCAGGTGCCAGTAGAACCAAAAAAGTGCAGTTTAAATATATTGCGTGCTCTTTGCACTCAAATGTACTTTTCAGTTGTTACCCTCTATACATACCTCAGTGACAACTGAAGTGAAGTCATCAACGTACTCCCAATCTTCCCTGGGAATTTTACATCTGAATTTGTAATCGTCGACGTCTCTGATGCTAATTCTTTTCGTGAAGGGGCAAGTGGAGTTATTTTTACACTTCCAGCTGGGCTCGGACGCAATAAAAACCATAACCATAATTGGAACGCCCCACCACAATCCGAAACACAAGTTAAAAAATATGTTGAGGACGATTTGGTAGCGTCCAAAGCTGCCAATCTTCTCGAAAACCTGGTCCGTGGTTAGTGCCATTGCTTAAAAGGAAAACGTAACTTCATAAGAGATGGCTATCGTTTCATTAATATACCTAAAAGGAACTAAAACACTATAGACCTCTTTTTATATATGCTCGGAGTGGGAAAAACAAGCGCTTATAGGCCAGTATTTAACCCATGATATTTTTGTTGATTGCTCCAGACGTAACAGCACTTGACCTACATTCCATTTATACGTGATAGATATGGAGAAGTCATATCAAGACTTTCAGGATATCAAGTAACGTGCGCAAAGAGTGTGTGCTTTATGACAGTCGACAGTCCCGAATCCCTTTCCTTTCAACTCGATTCTCTTTTCTAACGGATTCTTCTTGTATAGTCCACTACCCTGGGAAGTAATAAATTAACAAGGCAGGGCGTAAAACTTTTCTCTGAAGCGAAAACTGTTATGTCATAAAAGGTGATCAACTTTAAAGGGGTGGTAACCATACATATTCGAAAAGCCGGCTCTCGACATGTCAGGGCATAAGTTTTTCTTGCTCGAATTTTAAAAGTTCCATCTTGTACTTAAATAGCAGCATCCTTTCCGCCCAGGAAATAAACTTAGCCAAATACGTCAGTTAACACGACAATAGAGCCTTTCGGAAATATTCCACTTACGGTTAATTGCTGTTGAGAAGAAGTATATGCGATACGCGAAGTTACGCGATATTTTGTTATGAAACTTGAGGTCACAATGAACAGCATTAAAATCAAAGAACTTAAGGGGGCCTAGAGTTACTAGTAGTCGCCAAGCTTGACACTATTTTCAACATATTTTTTACTTATGGAACTGTGTGAATTCACGGCCGTCATGCTGTATACGTGCAGGTGCTCTGCGATTAGCAAACAAACTTAAGATAATACGTGAAAGTTCATTACAATAACACTGCATAGACCCAGTTTTACGTGACAAAAAACAAAATAACCAACTCGCCACGTATTGCGAGACTAACGGTTTGGAGTCTTAGAAAAGTTCTTTATCATTCTATGTACAGAGAAAAAACTTACCGAAACAGGCGCGGATCTACAGGAGTTCGGCAAGAACGAGTGCCGAAGGCAAAAGCATTTAGTCCGGGGCCATGCTCTTTCAGGAAATGTTTTGGATTTTAACTCCCTTAAGTTCCCTTTCTTGGGTTTCTGAATCATTCTGAGAAATTTCACCGATTGGCGAAAACGATGGAAACCGGTATGGATCCGCACCTGCCAAAAGTAGAGGGATCCATTTGCTACGCTACTCACCAAAGTCGAGCGTCCACTGGATAGAAATGCACGCGATCTCGTAGGAATGATCTGCTTGTTGCCACTGGGAGCTATCACATTATACACGGGCTCGTAACGCAATCGTTTAGGTCAAAACTTAACGTTTTTTATCCCCAAAAGTGCGTTACCTTTTCTTCTCCACATAAACTAGACTGAATCAAACAAACTGTGGTTGAAAATTTGTACGAGCGTGGAACCATAACTGAAAATGATCGATTGAACAAAATGTGTATTCTGTGACTTTGTGTAAATCTATAAATGGAAGCTCTCGTGTAGTTGTTTCAACATTTTTGGCTACTTGCCCAGGCAACAAATCACGCGATTACCAGTCAAGTACCGATATATATATATATATAATGAAATAAAATGAGTAAACGTATGCAAAATAAAATACGTAACAAAGCTTTCGATCATTGAGATCATCAATAGAGTGTCAGTTCTACAAATAGTGACTGTTCTTTACATAGTACTTAATAACGCACGCTGGAAAAAAGACCACGTAAGGCCAATACCCGTAGGGAACAATGGGTTGAAATGATTCACCTTGTTTGTTAAGTTCGGGATGGAAGCGTGCGACGTGAATTTCCTCTGTGATTCTTCGTTTCATCCAAGGGTGATGAACTCTGGCTAAAACGTACCATGAGAAAATGTGATTTGGATGTTCTTTGATGTGTCTGGCTTAGAGGGGTTGATTGCCTTTTCGAATGACGTGTGGGGGTTGGTCAACATGTTCATCCACCCGTAACACTTTTTACAAAAGCACATGAAATTGTGTACAAAGGCATATCAGCGAAACTACACGCAGCCTCAAGTCCGTGTTATGGATCAATCGGTACCAGCCAACACATCAAAGAATTCGTCCTTCTTTTGTACGCTTCTTGAGCAGCATTGCAGAATTAGGGCCATAGTGTAAACTACTGGCTGCATCTCTTACAGCGATTACCTTTCGTAAACACTTGCAGATTAGTACGTTCCGTTGTCACTAGGAACGTGTGATGGTAGAACTACTATTATTTTGCATTTATATTTGTCCACCAACTTACGTCATGTTCTTCCTTTCTGAGAAAATGCCGGATGCAAGATGACAGACGTCAATAGGATAAGCGAGTATTTCGCTTGGATGAACTCGCTCAAGTACAGGAGTCTGTGACCCCCCGCCACCCCCAACCCGGGGTATCATATGAAAAGGTCGGGGACGCTCATCGTCTCGTTTAGGGGTATAAATCAAGGATTCTCTTAGTACATTTTGGGTACCCTCCAAGAAGCATATTGTAAAAAAAAAAAAANGCTTCTATTTCCGTCTTTAGGCTCAATTTCCGTGGGTCTGTCAACTACTGTCTACTATGGTGGGCTCCTTTCTTTAACAACGGCTGGTTATGGAGCCTATTCCGTCTTAAGTGGTTTCTTTTAGGAGTCAAAGCTTGACCCACAACCAGATTGGCCTCTAGCCATTTAGCGGTTTAATTCAAATTTTCTGACGGGGCTCAACTTTCCATACGGGAGTCCTTCCCCCGGGGTCTGCGATCAAAGCAATAATTCCTCGCACTTTTGCTGGCGTGGCCAAGAAAAATAAAATGACATAACAATCAAAATTTTATTTATCTAAAAATACAAACAATTATAATAAAAACCTAAATTACGACAAAGTTATATCCTAGGCACGAATATTTCGTAACAGCAATTTTTTATTTCCCGGAATTTTGACGTGGGGTCATAGGGACTGATGCTGAGAAAACTAATCATTTCACTGACTAGTGCCCAGTTTCCCTGAAGCACTCGGTTGTTCATTTCGGCTATTTCTCAGTTGGCGCATTTCCATGCATTATTTGAGTTTTGTATAAGATGGCTACAAACTGTAGCAAACTCCTATAAGAAGAACAAAACATTTAACCAAAACAGTTAAAAATTGTATTATTTTAATCCTTCAAAACTGTAGAAAACCACCCTTAAACTAAATTGCCTTTTACAGCTGTTTTAGTAGCCATTGAGCCATTACTCTAAAATATAGACCCATTTGCAGTATAACGTTGATTACAAAACAAATAGAGAAAACACTTCTTATTTTTTTGCTCTCAGTCACATTAAAGTGTCTTCCTCTTCTTTGCCATCTCTTGTAATTTTGTTGCCATTTTGTTCTTCTATTGGCTTCTTTTTATCCTGAGTCAAATCTTCCATGGTTGGTTTATTGAGAGTCTCTGGTAAAGTCATGCACACAATGGCAGCTGCAGATGCGAGACCGGCCATTATTCCAAATGGCAGAAAACGATGGATTTCAAGCTGATGAGAAAATAGAACATACATTTGGGGGTGATGATTGATTCTTCAAACCCGCAGATTTACGGTTTACCGGGAGCCCATCACTAGGGGGGCAATCAGGTTCGAGCCCTAACCGGGGACATTATGTTCTTGGGCAAGGCACTTTACTCCCACAGTGCCTCTCTCCACCCAGGTGTATAATTAGGTGCCGACGAATTTAATGGTGGGAGTAACCCTGCGATGGACTAGCATCCTATCCAGAAGGGATTAGAAATACTCATAGTTGCTTTACGCTACAGAAACAGGAGATATCCACCGGTCTGACGGACCACTTGGCTCGTATACAGACTTTACCCTTTTTTCACCTGGATCAGGATGCCAGTTCATCGCTGAGTTATCCCACAAAATTATATACGCGCCGGTACCCATTTATACACCTGAGTGGGGAGAGGCACTCTGAGAGTAACGTGTCTTGCTCAAGAACACAATGTCTCCGACCAGGATTCGATCACCCAAACCCCGACCGCTCGATCCAGAGGCGAGCCAATAAGCATTAAGCCACCACCACTATTCCTGCGTAGGACAAAAACTTACCAAAAGCGGAGCATAAGCTGAAGCAAAAGCACTGACTCGGGCAGAGGCTGTTGATGTACCCATACCAACATTCCTGGAAATTAACAATGGATAGTTTAGTGAAATCATCCAAGTTTCCTCCCAAATGGATGTGACTATTGTAAGAATAAAAACTTGAATTTCACTTTTTTCAATTTCAGATAATTTTGTGTGCCATGAACTGTTTAGCACTTTTGTCTGGAACGCTGGAATTTTAAATTTTTCTACACTGTTTAAAAGATTTTTTTTTCTGGAGGAAAAACACTGCGCAATCAAATTCAGTATACGACGTAGGTACATTATTATGCCCATTAAAGGCCCTAGTCAGCCACACCTTTTTTTTGTTTACATGCGAAAGTTTGGCTATTACATTTTATTCGGAGCATGTCGAAACGAAGGAAATCACTGTAAAACTACCTAAACAAACTTACTTTCAGAAACACAACTTACAGTAAAGCAATAAGATTTCGTAATGCAATATCGATAATTTCGATGGCATCGAAAATGGGGGGCGCTGACTAAGGACCTCTATAAGTTAACTTCACTTCTCAGGAAAAATTGTACTTTCATTGGCAATGGTTTAAAGAATAACATTGATCCATGCTTTTAGTGCTGCATCATCGAGTTATGATGCACCTGGGAAGTTTTGAGAAGTCTGAGAACCGGCTTGAAAGAATTGCTCCGCTGCGCCTCGATTAACTTTTATGCTTCTTTTGAGATCTCCAATCTCCAATCTTCCAGCGTCCATGATTACACACTTGCACGTAATCTGTAACGTGATCCATTCAATTAAATGTAGACAAGCTAAAGGCCTAATTATAGTTTTTCATACCTCACAGTAGTTGGAAACAACTCTGCAGAGTAAATGTACACCAGGGAAAATGCAATCTCACTATTAAACCTAGCGACGACCATGGACATGAAGATTTTGCCAGCCATGTAACCTGATAGCAATAAAACACATCTAATTAATTTTATCTTGACAAATGGAAAGGAGCTAAAGAGGAAGAGAAAGTTTTCAAAATGCCCCGAAGGTGAATTCAATTCATCATTCATTACAGTTTATGTAGATTCAGGACTATTAACCCTTTGAAGGACTTTTTCGTTTTCGTGTATATCGTTTTCAGTATCGAAGTAAAAGTTGCCCAACTTTGCCACTTTATCTGAAATTTATCTTGGAGCAATTTAGTATGACGTCATCGTACATGTACTCAGATCTTAGTTTTCTATGGCAGACGTAATTAGGAAAAGTAAATTTTGCTTAAATATAGACCTCCTTTTTTATTTTAGATACCAAACATGATTTTAGTTGATGGTCAGACTTCATTTCATTGTCCATATTGTCTTAAACATGTCCAGTTGCAAAATTTCATTTTCTTTACCTTTATCATATTCGGCTTTATCTGACAGTAAGAGAGTGCCAATCGCTCCCACGGCAGCTAACAAAAATGACACTCCAAGTATTTTTCTCCGTCCAAACCTGTTAAATTGAGCAAATAATTAATTTATATATACTTGTACTTCGATGTAGCTACATGTACCTTCTGAATGCCGCCGAATGAAGGCGTATCAAAGATATATCAGAGACGGCTTTAGAGCTTTGCGACCTATTCAGTTAACCAAGATTGTTTAATTTAGTCGACCTCTCTTATATTGGACTGTCGAAAGGGAGTCGTTCTTTACTTTGACACATAAGCCCTACTGGTGAGGCGCTGTAACTGGGTTATACCTGAAAAGTGATCCGATGGTTTTTGTTTAAGAATGTTTATCTTGTAGCAAATAATATCTTCAAACACTTCAATATTAAATGAGGGTCACTTGGAAGAAAAATGAGGAAAGATAGAAAGGAAGTGTTGCCTTTTAAATAAAGAATGGACATAACAAGAGCAGCATGCATATGCATCAACTAATGAAGCCTTACGCTCAGCGTTATTTTAACCTCTTACCTCATTGTCAAGACAGCACTGATTGGATAGGCGGGCAAACCAGCTACAGTGGAAATCAACACGTTGATGTAGATATTGCCACCAACAAACGGGGCACTAAAGGCTATACCCCAACTAATAAAAGAGGCAGCGAACCTGTTTATTGAGAATGAGGGAGAAAGTTAGCTCTCGCATATTCACTACTGAATAAATTCCAAATAATGTTTTCCTTGAAAATCTCTTCAATAGGTCTTACATTGCGCTACTATCACTATATAATTCTCTTATCCCACTCCTGGAGTAAAATCCCACTAGATCTATTGTAAGGAGCCAATGCAGTTGTCAATAGAGTTAACTACACAGGTTTTTTTAATCACCATTTAACTGAAAATGCAACAACATGAAAGAACACCGAGTAAGTCTTCCTAGATAAAAGCTAGATGTTGCTGCTGGGTACTGGATCCACCGGCTATCCATGAGGGTGAGTTTTATCACATACCGAATGTAAATGTTTCGGTTTAGCATTTCAAAGTGCACTTACCACATCAGCCAGGAACCAAGCGTCTTGTGAATCATTCTTGGTGATATAAACAAATCACGAAAGTCACCAAGTCTTTCGTTTTGCTCGTCACTGGATAAATACAGCTTTTCATCGGGCATTTCTTTGCCATTCAGCCTGGCTACCTTGCTAAGAATTTCCCTCGCCTCGGTCACGCGACCCTTCTTTAGAAGCCAGCGAACGGACTCTGGAATGAAACTGTGGAGCAGTCACAAACAAACAAAACAGGATCAATATCCACTTACAGGCCGGCGTAATTTCAGTACACCGGACGTTTTGAGAAATTTACGTATCTCGCGTAGTGTGACGACTTTTCTATTTTGCATCTTTTGTAGAAAAAACTGGTCTCTCATGCACTATAGTTGCGCTTTACAATTTTACTGAGCACGTTCCGATTGGTACAGTATAGCACTGCCCCGGTAGAGCACTGCAGAAATCGTAGATCCAAATATCGTTCAAGCCTGATTTTTCTTCCAGGCGCTGTTCTTTAAGTTGTGTAAATAGCTGTGGTGATCATCCATGTTTTCACACATCTCAATATGTTATAACCAACTTCAAGCTGTATGCATAATTAATTATTACATGACTAAGAAAATTACTTCATTGTGATTGGCTGAAAGCAGGTCAATTTATCGTTATTTCTTAATTTGCACTGCAGCGCAAATTAACGCGTTCACGTTCGCAATTTTCTCAGTCATATAATAAATGAATTACCGTATGAAAACTCGAGCAATCAGAATCCTCCATAGGGAAAAGATGGCGACTGGTAAATTTACCCATAATTCTTAGCACACGAAAACCTTAACAAAGTTCATAAAAGCGTACAGAAACTAAAGTTATAAAATCTTCAAACCTAGGCTACTAAATGTCCTTAGTACAGGGACAAATATTGTAAAAATTTGACTTTCTTTATGCCTTATAGGCTGTGATAGGTTCGCAAGGCATCGTAGAAAAAACTGTTCAGCCGCCGTCTTTTCTCCTACGGTGGATTCAGGCTACTCGTGACATTTGAAAATTCTTTCAAATTGCACTTGCCAAAAGGCTTGTGAAATTTAGAGAGAATTGTTAAATATCACTCGTAGTGCTAATCTATACCCACAATTGCACTCGCATTCAATTCTCACGATTACCTATACAAATGAGAGCGGAATGCATGCTTTGCATCGACATGATAAACACGATGAAAATCAAAAAACAAACTTTTCCTTACATTCCGAGATGAAATCATGATCAAAACACAAACAGTGCTTTTTTTTTTTTTTTTTGAATTGTTCTTAATAAGGTACTGCAGTACTTACAAAAATCCGGCTGCCAAAAATATCCCAGGAATTCCAGTGACTATAGTGAGCTGTCGCCAATCTCTGATAGCGTAAGCAACACCCGCTAAAACCATGGTGAAGAGAAAGAAGCCAGTCCATACTAAACCCCCCGCAAAGCCTCTGTAACGTATGCCAGATAACTCTGTTACTAGTACAAATAACGGGATGCTGTACGCACCTGTATAAAAAGAAAAAACAAAAAGTGCGAACGTTCTTCACAACTTTCAGGCATTGTTTCGATTCAGTTGTGTATTAAGTGACTTGACCATGAAATCCCAGAAAGCAATAAGCCAATTTAGTAGAATTCCACCAGAACACTAATGCAAATGTTGCAATCTGATTGGCTACGCTATTGTGCACTATCAGCCATTAGTGTGCAGTGGCTGGAGGTCGTCTTCGAAATAGCGACGTTTTTTTCATTTTTCCAAAGTTTTGGAGGAACATTTTGATGCAAATGGCTGATTAAAATTCCTGAGATGACTAAAAGAAAAGAAGGACATTTACGGTTTCGAGACTTTAAAAACTTGGAATTACTGAAAAAATGCACACTACTGCAAGTTCAACTGCAAGTTCAACTGCAAGTTCAACTGCAAGTTCAACTGCAAGTTCAAATCATGACAATTCAATCCAAGCGATCCCTCTAAGGCACGAAGTTTGATAAGACGTCAAGAAAAAACTGGAAACTGTTATTTGAAATAAATTTCAGTTAGAATTCTACTAAAACAATTACATCATTCGCTCTCGATTTCTATGAGGTGATATTTGATTCGGCCTTCGGCCTGATCAACTGTCACCTCATAGAAATCTCGAGCTCATAATATAATCCAATTGTTAAATAGAGCGCGCGAATTTTGTGAGATCGACAAAAGAGTCTATAATTTAAATTTAGTCCTCAACTCCTTGAAATTCAAATTATGAATCAGCACTGCATACATGAATCGCGTGACGGCAAAGGAAATCTCTTTGCTTTGACACGCTCGAGCACAACGCAGAACTGCGAGAAACTGGGCTCAATAAACGCAAATTACAACAGTGCTAGATTTCTCAGGGATTCGAGGAAAAATATCCCCTAATATATAGATTTAGGCCAGCCTAAAAGCGCAGCTCCTGGGCCGGGTTATTCAGAGGCCGATTAAGCTAACCCAGGAAAAGGTAGAATTTTGATTTGAGTTTTGTAACTTTGCTTTGAGGTTTTCTGTATATTGTTTGGCCTTCTGTTTTGAGTTTTTATTAAATCCATTTTGAAATCACTGGTTATCCTTACAATCTGATTGGCTCTCAATGGTGCGATTTATTCACGAATCGCACTATTTTTTGCTCTAAATTGCATCTTTTTCTCAGCCATTTAGAATGGGACAGTAAAACAAAACAACCAATCAGATTTCAATATTAGTTTAAAGTAAACAATAAAATTTCAGGAAAATGAGAGGCAAAAAGCCATTGTGT